CCCCAAAACCCCAAAACCCCAAAACCCCATGTTGAAAAAAAATAAGAGTAAAATAGATTTTAGATCTTTTGTTATCTATTAATTATTGAATCACTATGACAATACTTTGAGATCATAAACACTTATGCTACCATCTTGACAAGCAGTAGCAACTTTCTCTCCATCAGGCGAGAAAGCAGCACCCCATACTGGAGCTGATAGCTGGATAGATTGGATACACTTACCAGAATTTTAATCCCAAATTTTGATTTATTTATCAAGTGACCCAGTAACAAAGTATTTTTAAGTAGAACTCATTGAAAGGCAGGTAATCCAATCGGCATGACCAGTAAGTGTTAGTTTCCTTTTCAATGCCTCAACATCAGTAATATTAATGTGTAAGTCTTCTCCTGCACTTACTAATATTTAACTGTTTGAGCTGAACTTCAAAGCTCTCACAGCTCTACCATGATCTATATTTAAACTTAATTATCTTATAGTTACTCTGGAAGTTCTCTTTTCTCTCATAAGTTCTTGTATCAAATAGTTGCACAACACCATCAATATTTCCGGAAGCACATAATTGTCCATTAGGTGACTAAAATGAATTAACATAAAGCTTATTTTGATATCTTACATAAGCTAAAGCTTAAATGAATTTGGAACCTTTGTTGAACTCTCTTGTCATATTTCCTGTTGATACGTCAAAGATTTTCATAGACAATGTGCCAGTCATAATCTCATTGCCGCTAGGGTTGAAATCAATTTTCCAAATATCATATAAGTCATTTTTTTAAATCTCCTCATAAGGAGTGAGTCCACTTTCAGGGTGAAGATTGTAGATTTGTAAAATATAATCTAAGGTAGAAACTGCAACTCTATTGCCAAGTTAGTTAATTTTTACATCTACTGAGCCAAGACCTCTACCCTAGTGGATAAATTTAGGCTTGTCTAGTGTTGATTCAGCATTCTGTAGATCATCAAGACTCCTAATAATATTTAGATTTTGACAAATTACCAAACTCTCAAAGTCTAATCAATAAAAGCAGCTGCGAAGAATGGTTTGCTAGAATTGACTGAGAAGTCCAAGCAATAACACTCAGTTCCAAAATTGTAATTGTAAAGCAGACTCTAAATGAAAGATATTAGTCAGTAAAATTGTGCTACTAAAAGTTTACCATTATATCTTAATTCTAAATATTATTTAATTATATATTTTAGTTTTAATTAGATCATTATTTTATGCAATACATTCTTAGAGGGGTTTTGGGGTTTTGGGG